ATGAATTTTGTTATGCTTAAATTTGAATGAATTTTGTTATGCTTAAATTTGAGCTCAGCCATTGTATTGATCCTAGTGATGACCATCACAAAGGGGATATTGGAGGCGGATAGAATGAGAGCACAGACCTTTGTGATGGCTGTCTGGACGGATCAGTACAGAATAAGAATGTCGTTTGCTTTTTCTCTCTAATGTATGTGCTATGCATGGACGCTGCTTAGAGGATTGCACTGATGCCATTGGCTTTTTAAAATTGTATATTTTGCATTTGGTCTTTTTTATAAAATAAAAAAAATGGATTGGAATTGATTTGTAGCATTTTACAATTTTTTTCCCCCATGGTTATTATTTTTGATAATTCAAGCTTGTTGTTTGTTGCTGCTAGTAAATAATATGTACTAAATTGTTTCAGTGTTTCAGTAAGATAACTTCCATTATGCCTTCCAAAATGCAATTCAGTGTTAAGGCGAAGCATATTAAAAGCAGTCTTTGAGTGTTTTTCAATACCAACGGAACAGAAAACAAAAGAATACAAAGTTTAAACTGATGTTGTTGAAACAGAATAACATTTTTTATCCTTTTTTTTATTGTGTTGCAACAACATATTTTCAGCCCCAAACTAACTCTTTATGAAGCAGAATGGAAATAATCTGTAAATAAACACTTTCTCGAAAAATGGCTTCTTTCCCAGAACTAGAGTAACAAATTGTTTCAAAAAAAGTAAAACTAAATTACAAACCAAGGGTAAAATTAGCTTTAAGATAATTTTAGGCTTGTACGACTAAAGAAAAGAGAAGGTTTCTAAACGTGGTTTTAAAAGCTGAGAGATGATCAGGGGCTCGGCCATTTAATACTCTGTAGGAAACTTGGATGGTTAATAATTCATTCTATATTCCACTGGGAAACAGTGTAAACAGTATTAAGAGATGCAGCTTGAGTTTTTTAGGGGATAAAATGCAAATAAAATATAGCTTTAAATAATAAGAAACAAAAATGTACTCAAATACCCTTTGATAAAATACGGTGCACTCTACTGCGAGCATGGACAATTTGATTTCAGTAAAAACAGCTTAGGTCTGTATAGGTCTGAGGGTTTTTTAAGAGAGTAAACGAGTGAACGAGTCTGTGGAAAAGTTTAAAGCAGAAGTAGAAGAGTCTTAGGACAAGCTCAGAGAAACACACTATGTAGGTTTTTTCTTTCTTTCTTTTGTCTCATAGTTCTTTCTTACTATGCTTCACAAGTAGTCGGGGATTCCTTATAGGTCCCTCCTAATTCAAAAGTTTTTTTTTTATGTTCGTCAAACATCATAAAAGAAAAAAAGTTCTGCTCCAGTGACGTGTTGAGAACAAAATGCAACAACCTCAATAGCAGAGCAGCAAGAACAGAGAAAAGTCATCTTTGCAGTTTAAACAGATTTATTTGTATTTTCCTTTAGGTTGTAAAACAATGTGCCAAGATTAGATAACCCTGCAGAGGGCTTTGCAGTCAGTCTTTTGGGACAAGAAAGAGTGTGCCAAAACACAACTACAACACTACAGAGACAGGGCTGTCCACCTACACTCACAGTCTGGGCAAGAAGAGTACTAACAGAAGAAGCTTAGAGGTTGTTAGTTACTCTGGAGAAGAGGGATATATCTACATATCAATCCAGTGAATCTCTTGACAGGACAACAATGAATGAGTCTAAAAATATGTCTTTTATAAAGGAGTGTAAACAAAATATGCAATTGTAGAAGGAAAACCCCTTGAAAAAACAACTAAATTCTCAAAGCTGGCCACAAGCTTTATAACAGTTACAACAAACATGTAAGAAGGTGCTCTGGTGAGATGAGGCAGAAATTCGATCATTGGATTGCATATAAATTGCTACATGTGGTAGAAAATGGCTACACCTGGTAAACTACTACAGTAACAACTACTACAGTAATGGCCCCTTCCCAGTTTAATGCCAGCCAAATGGCAGCCCACTTCCCTACGACTCCCAGGAAAATCCCCTACACCTTCCAGCCTCTGCTCTTCCCCTTGGCGTGCATTTTTTTTTTACTCTGACTCACTGTTTTACTGAATTGCAGAGTCTGACCAGGAGTTGATGCTTCTCCTTAGATTCTAATGTCCACAAATCATGACAGAAAGAATATTTTAGTACAAAGATTGATGTTTAAAAAGGAATTGTAGGGGACCAGCCAAGGGCCCATCAAGGAAAGTGGGGGGATTTTGAATGGCTACTGCTGTATATCAGCCATCGTAATGGGGTATACACTATTTCCACAGCAACATCATTCTGTGGGGGATATCTTTTAAGAAACTGACACTGAATGAGGCACAATCCATAGAAAACCTTATGTAGACTCCAAATATTAAATGCATAAAAGAGGATTCTGTGGTGGAAGATGTGTCTGGTTGTTTGTGTATTTTTGAATTTTGCACATCCATCAGTGCCTCATCCTTTGCAAATGTTCTCTACGCTGGAAACGCCTCTGTAGGTAATTTTATATTTAACCTAGAGAGGAAGCAAAGTGCTGGGATGCACATAGTCTGCAGGAAATCCCTACATGAACAAGAGGTTTCCACCGGTGTTATCACATCAAGTTATATGTACAATTTCTTAGTGCGTTCACAATGTTTTTGCTACTTTTTTCCGCTTTTTTATGAAAACGTCATAAAAACAAAAAAGAAAATCTATGTGATGTTGAAATGCTTCGCTGGTGTTCCGCTTTGTCTATTTACATTAAACGAAGCAGCTTGAAAATAAGCTTAGTTCTCCACCATTCAACAGCCAAGTTCATTTTAATGGACACCATGAGCACCAAAGCACAATTAATAAAGATATAGCAGCATGTTAAATTAGAGTTCTTAGAATAAAACCTCAACTTTCTGCCTTTGAAGCAATCCTGTGGCCGTATTATAAATCCAGTCTTTTTAGATTGTCCAAATTGTACGTAAGGGTCTACAGATAAAACATTCCATGATGACAGAAATCTACATAAAGTCAATTTTTTTCCATCAGAAATGTTCAATCTTGATAGCTAATGCTAAACCTCTTGCTAATTACCCTCGCTTCAAAAAAAGGCTTTCCGGTTAGGTTTCTCATTGATGCTCAAGTTTACACAAAAGAATGAACAAACGTAGGAGTACTTCTTCATGCTTTTGCGTAATGGTGGACCGCTTGCCAAACAGTGTAGAGTTACGCTTGAAGCCTACATAAAAACATCATGGCGGCACTTACGCAAAATGTTTGATTGACAAACAAGTAGCCACTCCACTTTCGACTGTAGGCAAAGTGGATTGGATAATGTTTTTCTAGGCCCCACCAAGGCCAGAGTTTATGGTTTTTAATTTTTTTTTTTGGGGGGGGGGAGATCCAAGATCCAAGAATGCCATCCATCAATTAAGTGATTTTAGATAAATCTGGACACCTAATTTCTGAGAAAAAACCTCTGTAATACCATTATTTGGAGCCAAGGTTCCCCTCAGAGCACGATAATGGCACTGAATGTACAACCACATGCATCATGATTTTTTTAGTGGCCTAGTCAAAGTTAAGACATACTGTAACTGTGGTAAGACTTGGAAATTGAAGATTACAGCTGCTCACCATTAAATCTGACCTATCTTCAACTATTTAACAAAGAGGAATGGACAAAAATGAGTTTCCACATGTGCAAAACAGAAAGAAACATACTGATTTGTAAAACACATGAGTACTTTATGTTACAATTTTAAGATACCATTAAAAAACATAAAAATATTAAAAGAGGTGGGATTACTTTAACGAAGCACTGTAGCAGTATGGTCATCAGGCTGCATGCACCCTGGCACCAGCAGGCTGCTTCAAGAGCATGCAGTGGGAGACAGTGATGAGTATTTTACAGGAGTCAGCTGGCCAAACAGACA